ATTATTATTTAAATTGGAGTCCTAAACAAGTGATTTTTTTAGTGATCTTATGGTCAAGACGACCCTGACAGCAACTAAAGTGAAATCAAATTGAGATGATTTGGACATGTACATAGAGGAAATGCATGAATGTTCCAATACGGAGGTATGAGAGGTCGGTGAATGATTTAAAGAGAGGTAGAGTTAGGTCGAATAAGTATTGAGGATACGGCATGAGCAATTTCAACTTACGGTTATACGGAGGAGTGAAGACATGACGCTACACAAAAATGATCTATTGCGTTAATTCCTTAATGAAAATAGATTAATTGCTCATTAAATATGTATTTTTAACAGCAGTTAACACTATTTGTATATGTTCCTAAAGTCTTTATATATATTTGTTGTCTAAAAATTATTTTGTTGTAACGTGACCTTAAATAAGAGGCTATCGAGGATACAAATTAGGATAGATTAGGATAGGAGGTTAGTTAGATAGTTTAGAATAGATTAGGATAGGAGGTCAGTTAGATAGTTTAGAATAGATTAGGATAGGAGGTTAGTTAGATAGTTGAGTGTTGTCTGTTTATTCTTCAATATTATTAGTCGTAGTGTTTTTATTGTAGTTTCTTGTCCTTTGAGTTTGATATTATTATGAATTTTTTACACTTCCATTATAGTTGCATTGACGGTTGTTTAAAATGATTTATTTGACAAATTATCTATAGCATTTCGTGAGGACTTTCTTTGTTTCCATTAAATCTTCATATAGCTTTGATCTATGTGTTCTTTGATATGAGAATCTATTAAAAAAAAAATTCTACCTTCAAAATAGTAATAAAATATGCATATATTTTACCATTTCTAAACTTTATTTCATATAATTAAATGTTATCATTATTTAATTGTATAAAATAAAATTTAGGGAGGGTAAAACGTATGGCTAACAAGTTTTACTTTGATCAACTAAAGCACAAGATATCTTTCAACATTATGATGTCAACCAATTGATATATAGCAAAAACGGTCTATCATAAGTTCATCACTCATGTATTGTCACACTCGGGAAACTTGTGTAGATTTTATTTATCTATTTTAAAATTAACAAGTTTTTTAAAAATAATAAACAATATAATACTTTATTGCAATATCTATATTAATTGATATATAGTTTTAAATTTTGAGAAATAATTTAAATAATAAATAATTAATGTTTAGAATAAAATTAGGAAAAAAATAATTATATTATTCCGATATATTGAAAATAATAAATAAAAATAAAAATTTATTTTTGAAACACCACAAATGTAAATTTGTGATGTCAAATCACTTTCCTCTTTATTGGGGAAATAATGAAAATTTCATAATAATAATAATAATATAAGTTATTATTTAATTAAAATAATAATCTTAAAAATTAATACTTGAGTCCTGTTGGTTTTTATTCTAAAAAAACTATTTTAATAATGTAAAATATTTGTTTAGAATTAAACAAGTCTTCTCTATTTAAATAGAGAATACAAATATATATTTAAAGAGCAAAAAATGTCATATAAACAAATTAATTAATATCAACAAGTCATATAGTGAAAAAATTAAACTAACAACCAAATAATTAATAATTATCTTACAAAGCAAAGAGCACTTGTTTTCATTGAACACAATTAAGTGCCAATACTTACTTTCAATTTACCAACTCTCAAAGTAAAAAAACCTCTCCAATACATTATATATTTAGGGGCATAGCTATCCTTTGGCTAGGTTGTCCAATTGAAACCCTCCCTTAGAGAATTACTTTGTTTTTATAAGTAAAATAATAATTTAAATGGTTAAATAATATATTTTGAATATTCTTAAAAAATAATAAAAAGTTTCTAGTTTAGTGATTTTAATCGTTCAACTCTTTCTAAGTTTTTTGCAATTTGCGATGTGCGGGTTTGATTTCCGTTATTTGACTTTGATTTTTTCTCTTTTCATTAAATATTTAAATAAATTTTGAAAATAATTATTTAATTTAAAGTTAATAAGCAAATTCTATTTTTTTCATTAAAAATAATTTAAAAGTAATTATTTAATTTAAAGTTAATAAGCAAATCTTATTTATTTATTTATTCCATAAAGCTACTAAAAGTTAAAATACTTTATATAAATTCTCCTCTAACATAAATCATTTGATTCTATTCTTTATTTTCATTCCTCGCTGTTGGTCATCACAGGTTTGTGAAATCTTGAAGTATAAAAATGATTTCATTCTTAACTGAAATGTCTCTCTTTTTCTTTTGTTGGTTCACTTTCTATCAGATAAACGTGAACATTAAAGTTAAATATTATATAGTTTGATTTTTAAAAATATTGGTATATTTTAATTTTAAAAAATAATCATTAATATTATGTAGTTTGATTTACAAAATTAAAATATACCCATTCTTTAAATTATTTTTACAAGCTATGAGATTTTTGAACATTCTTCATAAAATTTCTGGCTACGCCACTGCATATATTTGGCTTTGTAAATACACTTCAAAATAAATTCTTTTGAAATATATATTTACTTACACTCTTTTCTTAGTGTTTAGAACAAGGTGAAGGAATCTGTTGTTGTGGCATTTGCAATATAAAATACTATTTTTTGTTCTATCAATTTATAGTTATACCGTTGATAATTTAAGATACTACATATATAAAAAAAAGTTACGATTAAAAAGAATTTATTTAAATTTCAAAACTCAAAAGTACCAACATAAATTGAATAAAGAGAGTACGCAATATCATTTTTGTTAAATTTATACGATATTTTTCGCTCTTTAACATCAAATTATATGAATCTTAACAAATAATTTTTAAAAAATAAATCATCATATTGATATGAAAAGAAGTGTAATTTATAAATATTTTTCTTTTAATTTTTAATTATTTAAATTTAAATATTAAGTTTATTTAATTTTATTTATAAATTAGTTAAGTTACCTATCAATAAGCAAAAATTTCGTATTATTTATTAATAAAAAAAATGACACATATTTTAACCTAAAAATTATCGACAAGAAAGAGTGGACCTAGTGTGCCAATATTGCCAAATTGATGAGGCAATTTTATCATAAATATGTTTATAAATTGAAGTCCAATAAAACAAGACATAAATGGAGTTTCACGTGAAATAAAACATGTCTTAGCACATTTTTTGTCCAATCAATCAAGCAAGTTACATGTTTTACTTTTGCAAAGCTTGTCTTATTAGTGTGAGCCTTTTTACCAATAACATTAAGCAACATGTGATCAGAAGATTATGAATTTAAATCTGGTCAAATATATAAACAGATTTTTAAATTTTTTTTTTTCATTATCTTAACTACGTCATTTTTCTATTGATTATTAAACCACACATTATTAGTTCCTTTAAAACATTATTGATTGATTTTGACCGGTTTTTATATTGTAAATGTCTTCAATTGTGTTCGAATTGTAATAATTTTGATTAAATGAATGAAGACAAATCGTGTTAGTCTCATTTGTTTTCTAATGTATTCAAATGACTTAAGTAAAAAATAATTATTTTCGAACATTTTCACTATCAATTGGACTAATGAGTTGTGGAACAACATATGTATCCTCTATCAATATCCCTCACAAATCTGGTTCCACATCAAATTACGGTGTCTGTTTAAACGGAACAAATTATGGGAGTTCAATGATTTAATAGGAAAATAATGTAGTTGAGATACCTGAGGAAAAAAATCCAACAAATTTTGGATTCAGCTTATGTATTTGGCCTTTAAATCTTGAAAACGAATTTTGACTGAAATATTAAATAAAATTGTACATAAGGCTTTTATAGTTAAAATGTTAAATCTTTCCCCGAACTCTGTATATAGTGAAAGATTTAGTGCAATAAACTATCATCTTTACCATGATCTTAGAGAAATGCAAAATCTAGAGGCGCAAAAACACAAAACTAGTGATCAAATAAATACTTCTTCATGCTACATGTTAATATCAAATTAATGAATATATGTATTCAAATATTATATACATATATAACTATCACTTAATCATTATAAATTAATATGCATTTTTATTTTATATATGAAAAGGAAAAGAGTTTAGACTTCAGCCTACATGCATTGATTAATAGTTTGAAAAGGTTCTACACTATCAAGTCAATCAATCTTACCATACATACACCTATGGTGAGAGACAAAGTGTGTAGTATAGAGCTTAATTAGTTTTGGATTAGTCTTTAAATATTGACATAATTTATGATTAGTGTTAAGTTAGTTCTTTCACTAACAATTAGTTATATTATTAAGATTAAGATTGTAGAGTTCAATCTCAATCAAAATAAGGAAGAGTTCGGAGTCTAATGGACATACAATATTAACAAAAATTTTAAACGGTATATAAATTTTAAATATAATCAAAGAGGCAAAATCGCTAGTGGAGCAGCGAATTTGTTCGCCGGAAAAAAGCAAAATTGCTGGTGTTGCAGCAATTTTACTTTGTCCAGTGAGCAAAATCGCTGCTCTACCAGCGATTTTGTCGTTTTGGTTAAATTTAAAATTTATATACCTTTTTAGAATTTTTGTTAATATTTTATACTCATTAGGCTCCGGACTCAAATAAAGAAGAAAGCTATATAATAAAGGAATTGCTTCACATATAGAGATAAAAAGTGAATATAAAGAGTTATATTTTTATCCTCCATATTATTTTTATAATCTTATTTTAAAAAAACATATAAGTTAGGTAACCTACTTATTTTCCCAATCACTAATTTCATTTTACTGCGAATCGATATATATAATTATCGTTTATATGACCTAAAAGTGTTAAAAGTACGTTTAAATATAAGTGTATATATAACATGATTTAATTTAATTGATAACCTGCCAATGATTTATCAGTATCAAGTATCAATTATTGTAGATTCAAAGGAACAAAGCAACACTTGAAATTCTTATTCAAAATTATGTACACAATTTGATTAAGAAAAGTAGAATATGAATGACATTAATTGTCTTCTATTCACAAAATTAAGCTTATATTCTCTTTTATCCAATAATAATGCTAGCCAACAAAAATGAGACGGTCAAAAGCATCAGTCTCATCATCAACAGAAAAGAACTAATTAATTGTAGTTCGAGAGAGATTTCAAAGGCTAGAACAACACACAATTATATATAAATATATATGACTTTTTGTTTTTTTTGTTTTTTTGTTCCCTCCAAATTAATTAGCCCGTTATGATCATCAACATTATATCAATAACGATTCAGATCACCTCCCCAAGCTAGTTTAACAGATAGTGCATGCATTAGGATTCTCTTCTATGCTATGGTGAACTTGGTAATATGTGTGCATAGGAGGAGGATAATATGGCCTATAAGCCGCTTGTGGATAAGATAGTGATTGTGGTTGAGGATAACGTGATTGTGGTTGAAGGTAACGTGGTTGTGGTTGTGATTGTAGTTGTGCTTTCTTCACTTCTTCCTTTTTGGGTCCTTCTATTTCTTCTTCGTCATCATCATCATAGTCATCATCATCGTCATCCTCCTCTTCTTCTTCCTTTTTAGGCTCTTCTTTTTTAGTTTCCTCCTTGGGTGGTTCCTCTTTCTTTGCTCCCTCCTTTGGTGGTTCCTCTTTCTTTGTTTCTTCTTTGGGTGGCTCTTCTTTTTTTGGTTCTTCTTTAGGTGGCTCCTCTTTCTTGGTTTCTTCCTTCTTAGGTTCTTCTTTCTTCTCTTGCTCGGGCGTTTTAGCTGGTCCTACTATGAGTATCTCTGTCCACCAAAACTTACGTAGCCTACTCACTACGTTCACTGGATCAACTGTACCAATGACGGTTAACTTCTTACCTTTCATATCCATCGAAATCTCATCAATCCCTATAACATTTCATCATACAATGCATTTGATTAATGGAAGATGAAAGAATAAATTTTAGCTTAAGTGTGTTTTTAGGCTTCTAATACCATTCCTAGCAAAAGCACGTGGATATACATTCTTAGAAAAAAATTGTTTCAATTCATGCACCTAATTAACCACCCAAAACCAAATATACTATATAGTACTAGTAAACATTAATGTAAACATAAAAAACAATTATCTATTTTTATCTTTTTGTTTAAGTGTATAGATTTGAAAAATCACATAATTCGATATGATATCAGAAAAGCAAAATGTCATCACTCTTAATCTCATTGTCATCTAAAAGAAAAGTATATTTACATGTTTGATTTATAAATAAGTATTCCCACATAATAAAATGTATGACAAACTTGTGATATTTCAAATTACTCATAGATGTATTAATTACAAACTTCAATATTACTTTTAGCTCAATTGCTCAAATTATTCATTTCACTACCAAAACTTATAAATCATAATTGATATTCTTTTAACTCCTAATCAAAAGTTTTTAATTACTAGATGTCTCAAAGAATAAAAACCTTCACCAATGTAAGTGTTTTCGAATCCATTTAAATTGAATCACACTATTGATAAGGGATTTGTTAGAATAATACGATACATTATTAATGTATCATATTATTTTTATACGCTCTATTAAACGAGATATATTCCGTGTAACTATAGGCAAAGTGATAGTACCTAGTACCTACTACCTAAATTGTGTTAGTGGGGAACAAGTTCATATGACGGTGGACCCACTTGACGTGGCGCCATGCTGGAATCAACTTAGAAAATATTTGTACTTTTTCTTCCTCCAAATTAGTGCAAACTTAGAAACCAAATTACCACTAAAACAAGTAATCTTTTGAGTGGAGGGAATATTAGTAATAATCTTTCTGTTATAAACGAGGTAAGAGTAAGGTTCGCATACATTAGATTCTATTCACAAAATCTCATATTATTATTGTTTAAACTAAATTAAATCATAAATATGTATATGATAATTACAAATCATTTTTTATTAAATTATTATTATTATTATTAAATATAAAAAAAATTCATTAATTAAAAGAAAAATAAAGTATTATCATGTAAATTGAAAAGATTCGATCGATGTAAACCTATTTAATAGATGTAAACCTATTTAATAAGGCGCGGAATTTCTTTTTTAAAAAGATCTTAAATATATTATAATGTAATATGATAACAAAAAATTCAAAAGCATGAAATATTAATTCCGGCATAATATTTTTGATGATTATAAAAATTTTAAGTTGCTCAATGAAATTATTTTCAATTTAAGAAAAAAAAACATCTAAACTTAAACGAATGAAATAATTAAATTAAAACCCACAAAATTAATAAGTATATATATATATTTGGATAGATTGTAATGAAGCATGAACCATAGTTATGTATACAATGTATTTCTCTAAGTATGTAACATATAGCAAATCGATAAATAATTTTGATAAATCTTATACCTGAGAATAACTTATCTTAGAATTAGTTCCTCGAAAATTATTATGAACACTAAAATAACTCCATAATTTTTTAATACTGATTCAAAATAATTTATTTCGTAATTTTATTTTCAATCAAATATGAAATAAACTTATCTTAATATTAATTTCGAAATTGATACCTGTTAGAGCGGAAACTGTCTTCAAGGCCTTTCTTTTTTCCCTAACATCTTGTAAATCCAGTTTGATCAGAATAAGTTTCTGCATAATTTTACATAGTAAACAAGGAGAAAAAACAAATTATTTTTTTAAAAAAAAAAGAAAAACTAAAAATAAAAAACAAATACTCATTAGTTTACAATTTTTAAATCAATAAAATTAATTTAATGTATAGATCAGTTCAATACAAAAGATATTTCAAATAAATGAATAGGAAAAAAGAAAGTTCATAGATTGCTCTCAGTTTACTGCTGCTGATTCGAACTCACAATCTTAAAATTGAAAAACTGAACGCTGAGAGGTGATGTAATACTAAATAAGAATTAAGAGAATGGATGAAATTTTTTGAAATAAATAAATAAATTAGGAACAAAGAAGCAAACCTTCATGGATGAAATTAAAGAGCAATTTCTCTTGAAGGATGAGAATTAATATGAAGAAAAATAATTACAAAGAGGAAATAATTAAAGGAATTGAAGTGAGAAAAAAGACACCGAATATATGCAATAAAGGTAGTAATAAAAGTGGTTTTTGAAGGGAGGAATACTATCAGAAAATAATTCCGAATCAAAACAAAATATGCAGAATGAGAGTGTGAGAAAAAACGTTGCAACAACTTGGAACCTTGTGTACGAGGATTCCGAGGAGGAGGGGCGGAGTTAGAATTTTAAGTTTGTGATTTGATATTTTTTTTTTTGAGTTTTTATTTATATTTAAAGTTTTTTTATAAGTAAAGTCTCGACGGATGTTACGTGTTGTAAGAATTTTAAGTTTGTGATTTGATATTTTAATTTTTTTGAAATTTTTACTTATATTTAAAATTTTTCTATAAGTAACGTCTGAATGGATGTTATATATTGTTTCCTAATGTATTATATTATATTATATTAGTTAAATTGTGTTGATTTAATAAATACAATGTTTGAACAGTTGATTGTTTCATTATCTGTAATTATATAATATTATATATTTATAATTCGAATAAGAAATCTATCAGAATAGTAAGTTTTAAAGTAGAGTTATTGTGAAAAGATAGAATAGATGATAAACTATTAAAGTGATAAAAACACAAATATTTTAGATTATGAGCGAAATTTTTGAGACACATCTTAATTAAACTAAGATCGTATTATCTCCTCGTATTTATTTTTTAATAATTTTGTCTATCTTTTTGACTTACGTGACATAGAAACATCTTATGTCTAGGAATCACAAATGTGTAAGCCAAAAGGTGTATAGAATTATTTAGAATATGAATTCATGGGTAATAGGATTTTAGCTTAGTTAAGATGTGTTTCTGATATTTTTCTCATAGTTTATGGGATACTTGCATCTCATTTTATGATGAAATACTAAGGTAACGATGTCACCACACAAATTTGTCATTATATAAAATAAATCTTTTGTTATTATCTAACAATAAATTTAAACGTTACGATACAATAAAATTTAAATAACAATCAAAGCAAACATTATAAAACTATCAAATACGCTACAACAGACAACAACCATCCAAACAATGTATATGACACATATAAAATTTGAACTAAAATTACATAATTTTATTAAATTCGTGAACTTTATACTAGCTCCGCCCCTAAGGTGGGGTAGGGGTGGGGATATACATGAGGCTATGGGGATTTGTGCCTACATACATACACCTGAAAAGAAAGGTGACAACATGGAGATCATAAATTAGAGCCAGTGGCAGTGTATATATATATAAAGAAGTTCTGCTTTTTTTGAAGGGCGGTGGAAAAAGCCTAATATTGAAATCACAAAAATATTTTTAGAGCCCGTTTAGCTTAGCTTAAAAGCTGATCAAACTGATTTAAAAGCTGGTTTTTGACTTATTTAGTTGTTTGGTAATATTTAAAATAATTTATTTTAAGTTAAAAAATTTATTTTAAGCCAAAAGTTAAAAGTTGGGGTAGGGGTGCTTTTTTTTATAGCTTATAAGCTGTTTTAAGTTGACCACATTTTTATCTTTTTGCCCTTAATATTTTTATACAATCTCCAAATTACCCACATAACCCTAACATCTCTTTCTTCTATTTTTCCCTTTTCATGTTTGGCATAGCAACTTCAGCACTTTTATCCAAACGCATAACTGCTAATTTTAAAAATAAGTTTCAGCACTTTCAAAAGTACTTTTTTAAAGCTGCTTTCATTAAGCCCATCCAAACGGGCCCTTAGTTATGTTACGAAAAAAGAATTATATGTAAATTACTTAAAATGTAATTTATGACGTGCAATAATAGGTGTATAATTTTCAACGAAATCAGATGCATTTTTGGAAGAAAAATTCTAAAATTGGAAATTTAACCAAAGTCAACAAATTAAACAAAAAAAACTCGAATTGAGTTTTGACAATTCATTAAAATTATAAAGTAATTTATGACTTAATTGTATAATTTACATGAGTTTCGAAAGATCCGAATAAATTTTATTTATATTACGGTCGTATTTAATATTTAGATAATGTTTTGAACATAAACAATATCAATTTGAGAATGACCTCTAAAATGTGTTTTGATTGAATTAATAGATTTTTATATATCGTGATTTAAGAATCATAACAACAAAAATCTTTGAATTCTAAAGCCATATGAGAAAGTTATAATTTTTTTTAGTGCAAATTGTTGTTACTGAAAAATGTATTAAATGGACAAAATAGTGATTTTTGTATATTTTCAACATATTTTGAATTTTAGAGCTAAAAAATGGACAATATTTTCGGGTAAAAGATTCCAATTTTTGGTACTTTTCCCATGTTAGCATTAGTTTGTTTTCATTTTTGTTTGTGAATTTATTGAAGATAGGGGATGGTTTAACATAAAAGTTATGAAAATTAAAAATGTGGATTTGAATATTGATTAATTCGTAGAGGAAATTAAATATTTTCTTAGTTTTTGAACTTATGGACTTGGGTAACCTAAATTCAGTGATAAAAACTTTAATATTAACCTCGAGGACTAGTGTTGATTTTTAATTGACTTTTTTATTGGTGTTTAGTATAGCGATATGAGTGTCTACAAATTTGTATGCAATATAGATACGTATTTCTCATGCACCGCTTGAGCTGCGGGCTCATTTTCAATGGGCTTTTTTTTTACTCTGACTGATTCAATGTGATTTTGAATTAAAAAAAATAACACTCCATACACATTTAAGATATAAATATCAAGTTATAAACAAATTTTTTGATAATATACTACTTATAGCATATTATTATCAAGTTATAGCATATCAACAAAAAATATATTCAAAAAAATTCTCATTAATTATTTAAATAATAATTAATTAATTTAAATAATTACATTTATTATTCAGTTACCTTTTTTAAGCCAATCTATTTAATTAAATTAATTTTTTAAGTTACCTTTTCTAAACCAAACTATTTGATTACATTATTTTTTTTAAGTTATCTTTTTAAACAAAACTCTTTAACTATTATTAATTAAATTAAACATTATATAGTTACCTTTTAAAAAACAATTACAAAATAATAGAGATTTTATTATTCCATAATAACTACCAATCACTAATGAAACCAATGCCAGTTTTTTTTAAAAATTGTCGCACGCTATATTAAAAAAAAAATCATCTTTAATTTCGCACGCCTAACATTATTCTTCACCAAAATTAGTTGTTTTGGTGAAAAATCTACAACATTTCACTCACAAATCTGTATAACACCTAACATTCTTCTTCACCAAAATCTACTGTTTTGGTCAAAAATCTTCCACATTTGCACTCAAAAATCTGTATTATGGCGAAGAAAGGCAATGAAACCCCGCGTAAAAGTAGAAGGTTGAACGATGAAGCAAAATCTGAGGAATTTTATGCTCCATCTTTCAACATTTTGTCACAAACACAAACTCAATCTTCATCTGCAAAAGAGAAATCTAGAACAGAAAAATCAAAAATGAAAAAAAAAACAAAGAGCCAAAGGAAATCGAGAAGAAGAGAAAAGAAAAAGAAAAACAAACCGTAGGTGAATTTGAGAAAGAGACAACGAAAGAGGAAAGAAAAGGAAAGGAAAACAAATTTAATACTCATCAAATTTTGACTCTGATTTTTGTAAATGAGTTGATAATTTCAATTTTTTTTACAGTGATTATGGTCTATACACATCTCTCTTTGCCGAATACATGAGCAATGGTGTCTTTGATATATCTCATATTGATATCGATTCAAAATATCATCGTCAAAGATATGGTACATTACTTTGCATTATGCAAAATCAAAGAATGATGAAGGCGCAATAAGCGAAAGTGAAGTTACGGGAATAGTTGCTAGCAAGAAGGATGGACCTTGAACTCATAAAGAACAAGTTATGGACACCACCAATTATCTTACTTCAAAATTCTGTAATAGGAAGTAGAAATTTTCATGGCACACTGTACATTTTTTTTTAACTTATGAACTATTTATGTAATTTCCCAATTTTTAATTATGAATACTGATTGTTTTATATAAATTATCAATGAATATTATTAATTATTAAATGTGTCTCACTTTGTATAAATTTTGAACGCAAGAAGAAAATATAGGAATACTGTATGAATCATGTATGAACATTTTTAAATGTGTATGATCTCTGTATAAATTGCTTTTCAATATGTAATGTTAAATTTTTACATGCATAATGTATGAAAATTATATGAAATAGTACCGACATATGATTCAATATGACAATATGAATAAATATACAATTATACCTTAATAAATGTGTATGACTTTTGCATAAATTACTTATTCAATACGCATTAAATTTTATTTGTATGAATACTGTATACTTTCAAATACAAAACAGAAACAAATGTTACTTATATTATTGGTATGAATACTGTATGAAAATTGTATGAATTATATCATATTATACTTTGATATGTAGAACATAAACATACATTATTTTATATGCAAATTTTGTATATAGTCCTCATTCAATATGCAATAACTGTATGCATACTATATGAATATTATATGACTTATTAATGGTATATTATACTTTCATATACAAAATAGTAACAAATGTTAATATATGAACAGTTGTATGTACAATGTATGAACATTGTATGAAAAATAATATGATTCAATAAAAAAAATAAAACAGGTGTCTAACAATTTAAATACTCAAAAACACAGATGTAACAGTAGGAAATCATTGTTTTTGTACAGGATAATTTGAACATGTATTCCTTTTTTGTCCAACTTGATGGCATCTACTGCATGTGCTTTTTGTCCTCTTGAATTTCACATCAGCGAACCCCTTCCAGTGTTCAAATTTGGGTCTTCCCGCTGATCTTTTTGGACCAGGTGGCATCATTTTAAGCTCTGAAATATAGCTTGGTATATCCCATGTACTCTCGCATGGGATAGGCTCAACAGGAATGACATAAGCATCTCTGAAATTCATACACAATCTATACACACTTACTATATAATTCACTGATAAATACAACAAAAAAGATTCAATTTCATACACAATTAATCCAATGTTTATACAAAATTCATATATATATAACATATCAATTATAAATTATCAAAAAATACACAAATACTATATAATTCACTAATACATACAATAAAAAATGCACTTTCATATACAATTTATACAATGTATTAAAATTTAATACACAATTAATCTAAACTTTATACAAAATTCACATATATTTAACATATCAATCACTGATATATACAATCAAAAAAATGGGCTTTCATACATATTTTATACAATATATTCATACATTACATACATAAATAATACAGTTTCATATTTCATCAATATACAAAATTTTATCATCTGACAATTTAAATATAATATAGAGTGACTTTTACCAAAAATTCACATTTTATATAATTTTCAAACAATATTAATACAAATTGTCAGACTTTTGTTCATATTTTTTTCATAATAAAACTGCATAATGATTCAAAATCTGTAAATTTTTGTATTTTCTTCATAAATCAATTATCACACCAATCTTCATTTTAATTACAAATCAAATGAAAATTACTATTACTTAATGTTTTTCATAGTATCATATACACATCGTAATTGTATCACAAAAAATACATGATATCAACATCTACAATATAACATAAATTAAAAAAATGAAACATTCCATACATGACAAAAAATAAATAAATAATTACAACCAATAATTTATACTTAAAACATAACAAATCATAATTAAAAACTAACCTGATGAATTTCACTTGCCACCATGTTTAATTAATATTGACACAATGTTCTCCATCAAATCAAATCTAATCGTTTTCAACGTCAAATTTTAAGAATTTTTTTTAAAAACAAAAACAAAAAAATAAAACAATATTCGATTATCAAAATAATCCTCATTTTCTGGAAAAAAAAAACAAACAATGCACGTTTAAGGAAAGAAAATAACAGATTAGAGTATTTTAAGGATTTAAATCATAACTTATTATCATTAAAACTAATTTGAGACATTTATGGTATCTATCTAATCTTAAAAAAATTCCAAATCCTTTAAAATGTGCAAATTAGTTATCATAATTAATAATAACTAATTTCACGCATTACACTATCTAATATTAATTTGTCCATTTTTTTTATTTTATTTTACTATCTATTTTTAATAATTTAAAATTAACATTATTTTCTTTTTAAAAAATGTTATAATTCGATATATTAAATGTTATACAATGCAAATCAAACTCTTATGCCATAACTTGAGAATATGACTACATAAAATGCTATATACTTAATTTACACTTTTCAATAAGGGTAAATTACAAAAATCTTATACTTTTAAGAAAAAATTACTTATATACACACATTAACTTACCTTAATATCTATTTATTCCTACATGTTTTAAATTTTTCAAAAATTCCTTTATTCTTTCAATAGATAAAATCTTCTAATACATAAATATTTTACTCTTATTTTCAGCCTACATTCACGTTTCCCACTCCCATTTTATTCGTCCATTTTATCTCTAAATTCTCTCACTTCTTTAGCAATTACAATTTTTGAATTCATTTTGATTTTCAATAGGTATTAGTTATTATTTAATAATAATTAATAAAATTTGTAAAAGTTCTCGCCTTTTCTGTTGTCTTTTTTTTTTTTTGTCTTTTTCCTTCTTTTTTTGGTTTAATAGTTGTTTTGTTTTTCTATTATTTCCAAATCATTGTTGGGTTGGATATTTGTATTTGATTTCTTTATTTTTGATTTTAATAAAATTCACCTCGTGTGTTTGATTAAAAAATATATACAATATTTATAAATTTTTCATAATTTGAGTTGATTAAGGATTCTAACAACTAATCATTCATTAAAATTGATTTGGATTCTTTTATTATTACTCATCTTCTTATTGTCTCATAATAATATTAGTTTTTATTTCACCAAAATTTCATACAGTTTAATATTTTTCTCTTTATTCTGGTATTTTTCATTAAAAAAAAAAGTTCTTTCATGAGTTATGTTTGTTCATGTATCTAATTGATAACTTAATTCTTATTTATTGTGATACCTTTATAGATACATTTTATTTCAGATTAGGTACATCCTTCCTTCAACACCTTATTGTATCAGATACATCATTATCAACTATAAAATGATACATTTATGTAAGCTTACATATCTTTCTAGGCAAATAGTATGATACTTATAAATTTAAACGAGATAAATAGATAGTAATGCATCATGCACTATTTTTTTTAGATATGATATGTAAATTCAAATTTATACTAAATGTATCAATTACATAGCAATTATCGCACAGAAATGTATCGATCTCAAATCTAACATCTTCTAGGCAATAATTACTTATTTAATGCATCTAGTATAAATACAATACAATACTTATTAATTTAAACAAGATACATAATAGTAATGTATCATGCACTAATTTTTTAGATATGATACATAAGTTAATATCTACTAAACAATACTTATTATACAATTTTTTTTATCTAAATATCTTGTATACCATGATACAAGAAGATTATTGATAAACTAAATATCTTGTACACCATGATACAATAAGATGATTGACAAACATAAAGCTTCGATCAACCTAAATAACTCTTGACATGATGTCATTCAAATCAAGTAGAAATATAAATAAAAATTAAATAGTTAATAAATTTAGTATAACTATCTAAATAAAGATATCAACTTGTAATTTTTATATATTATGATTTAAGTTGACTTTGATTTGGTTTCTTTTATAATTCATTCATATTCTATATTTTTTTTATTTGACCTATTATCTAGCTTAATTTATTATATTGCTCAAATTTCATCTGGATGATCATTGTCTCAAATTATATTTTCTTAGCCCAAATCAATTAAATTACATATGGTGCAAGGTTGATTCAACAAATCTAGCTCATATTAATAATTATAGGAAAAAAAAATATATATATCTTCGAACTATCGTAAATGATATGCAGATGCATTCCGTCATACTTTTGGGACATTGGTGCATCTATTGTCCAAAAACCAGAGCATATATATCCTTTATACTAACAGACATACACGAGTCATAATCTCATCCACGATCCGACATTTATTAAATATCGAATCAACGGATAAGATTGTGTCACGTGTCCCTATTCAGTCTTCCGTTAGAGTGAAGGACATATATGCTCCAATTTTTGGACGACAACGAGCCAAAGACACTGATGTCCCAAAAGTACGACGGATGGTATATGCATACCATTTACGATAATTTAGAGGTATATTTGTCTTTTTACCCATAATTAAATAACCAACGAGTAAAATTATCCACTCTTTGCGTGAATTTAATATAATAATATTTGTAAAATAATATGTAAACCTATCAGTCATTAAAACTAAAACACCATTTATTTTAAATATAGGGATAATGCCCAAGTACCCCCTCAACCTATGCCCGAAATCTCAGAGACACACTTATACTATACTAAGGTCCTATTACCCCCCTGAACTTATTTTATTAATAATTTTTTACCCCTTTTTAGCTTACGTGGCACTATCTTGTGGGCCCAACGATGGTTGACTTTTTTTTTCGAACTAGTGCCACGTAGGCTAAAAAGGGGTAGAAAATTACATATAAAATAAGTTCGGGGGGTAATAGGACCTTAGTATAGTATAAGTGTGTCTCTGGGATTTCGGGCATAGGTTGAGGGGGTACTTGGGTATTTTCCCTTAAATATAAGATTACTTAGTAACAAACATTAATAATATAAAGAAAATTAAAAATTATAATATCTTGTCATTATCCTTAATAACATAAACATAAATTTATGACTATAAAAGAAGTTTCAACATCTGCAACATAAGTAATGTCAGTGAGCAACTTAACAGGAGCAAATATACGAATATTTAGTTGTGCATAAAAAAAAAAGAAGAAGTTCAAAATTTTTGTTGTTTTAAGATGAGAGGAAATCTCTCTATTTATAGACAACAAAGGGTAATGTGATTAACTGTTTGTTGTATCTTATTGAAAATGTCACAACTATTTAAAAAAGTTATCATTTTTTGGAAAAATTACAACTTTTTATAAAAATTGCATTTCTTTATTGACAATACAATTTTTCATAAATGTCTTACTTTTTTATGAAAAGAACATTAATTTTGAAATAAATATTCTCTTTGTCTTATTTTATGTAGCACTTTTCACATTTCGAGATTCAAACAAATTTATCTTTGATAGTAATTTTTTTATAGATACTTTTAACAATTTGAATTATCAATTATTGTGACTTATAGTACTATATACGTAGTTTACAAATATATAAATTTCATTTTAAAAATTTTAAAAATTTTATATGTAAATGTCGAATTAAAATTAAATTGTTTGAGTCTCGAAAAACAAAATATGGATTTGTGGTATTTTAGATCGAGAAGGACAAACATTTCCTTAGCTCTTAAGTTTTTCCGTTGACCCCTCGTAAAATAATGGTAGCTTTTAATCCTTTCTCTCGCCATGTTCACACATAACGAAACATCTACACTATTTCTCAACCGATCCATGTGTGATTTTTATGGATCCTTAACCTTGAATTTTGTTCAATTCTCCTTGTTAATCAATGATCAATTTCCTTCAATTTTTGTAGATTGAAGAAAAAATTGGGATTAATGGGTAATCAAGGTCAGGATATGTCAATGGCAATCTACAAAAACTCGAATTTCACCGGAGGTTGTTTGGAAATCCGATTGTTTTATGTACGTATCACGCCATGCGCGGTTGAAACCGTACCGGACCACCTCATACTCCGCCACCTCCGCCGTGAGATGGGGGTAACGTTAGAGATCAACAGTTCGCGTATTCCGGCTAATGATACAGGCATCATAACCCTCCGACGTGATCGGGTTGATAAGGAATCGTCGGAGGTAACGTTTGTGAGCACGGACAGCGTTAGGGTTTCAGGGCCGGTGGAATTTGAGGTACATGAGAATGAAAATGAGTTAATACTTTGTGGGTCGTTGGAGAGAGTAGAGACAACGTGGGCTAATGGTAATGTTTTAGAGAATGATTCGAGGAGTGGATGGAGCATGGATTGTTACACAGCAGCATCATTTGGGAATGGTGGATCAGCTTTTTTTCAGCCTAAATTTGGGGTTTCTTTACCATCAATCGAGGTATACATAGCGGGTTGCTGTTCAGGTGTCCCTGTGATTCTATCAAAGACAATTCAGGTCAGCCCGAGAAGGAAGTTACCTAGGCAGGGTATGTTGGATGCAATTCCAGAGGATGAGGAGGTTGCGAAGGAGCAGGGGAGCTCGAATGGATTCGGACGACAAATAAAACCATTGGTAATGCAATTTTACCTTTAATCCACCTTTTCCGTGATCAGAAAGGAAAGAGGGATAACATAACTCTATTTAGATGAAGTTAATAATGCTATTGCTGTGGGAATGTTCACCATTAGATGGAGTAGCAAGTGATTTCACTAATGTGGAATTACGTTTGGTAATGGCTTTGGTTAGGTTCTTAAGTTGTTGTGTTTTGCCCAGGTGACTATAATCTAGTGATGTAGCACTTATCAAGAAAACTAAAATTTAGTAATGTAGCACTTCTGATATGAAGATAAAGTAGAGCTGTACTAAACCTTTAGTAGGGAACACCAGTTTAAGGTACAGATGAATTGTCAAGGCTTGGCTTGACCTTGTGTGCTCAATTTGCAAAAAAGATGGATCTCTTGTGATTTACATCCATAATGTCTTAATTTGGAACAGTGCTTTTGCCATAGACAAAAAAGAAAGAAGCTGTTGCATTAACTTTATGTTTCTTCAAACGACACCACTGACTGCTACCTCCTCCACAAGTTTGAGCAAGTCTATGTTGTTAAGCATCAGATATCATTTTTTCGT